ATAAACATTACAAACATTACAAATTGGAGATAACATGATTTGAATCATGAGTCAAGCCAAGTTAGCCAGATTTCATAATATTATAAGGGCATTTGATGATGAAAGAAGAGGAAGTAGCAAATACCTGTCCCTATATAAAGTGGTACATTGATACCTGTTGTTAATTGGTTCTGGGAGGCACAATGAATAGTAAAAACAATGGGTACCAAACAAATCACGTGACTTAACACGTAAACCTATGTTTCAGCCAGAAAGGTTAGCAAGTCACAAGGCAGTCAACACCACCAAGATCTAGCTTGCATGTCGAATACCAAACAAATGATGAGTACTGGGACAAAATTTTCACATCAAAATGCATCAGATCTGATGCATTTTAAAGTAGTTGAGTACCAAGCTATGATTGCATGTTCCTCCATTAGGAATTTGAATACTGACTAAGTCATTGCTGGAAGATATTAGAGATGTGCATTATTTAGTTGCCAGCAGAATCTGAAGCTGGCAAAAAATATCCTGCATCTGGCATGGCCAGCTTCAAAATCCTACAGGCACTTTCTTGAAGGAGTCATACTTTCTCTTGGATGCGCATAGCTGCATGTTCTTAGGAGAATCTGCATTTGAAACCAAGAAGCATTACAGAGATGGTGACAGGGTGCATCCACACTGTCACTCTTTTCTTAATGCTTGCTGAACTCAAGCTGCTACTTTCCTAAGTCCTTGTAGATACTGGGCAGGGAGGGGGAGGGGGGGAGAGAAAAGAAAAGTAAAGATATGGCTCTAACAGGAAAGATGCCCACTCAAGATCCAAAACACCATGCCTGCTTTAGATCTGAATACTGGATACCTGTTGGAGACATTGATAGTGCCATCAAATTCTAAATTTCTCTTCCCCACCAAAAGTTGCTGAACCACAATTTTTAGAAGCCTTAGCCAGCATTATCTCTGGCGAGTGATGGAGTTCCAATTTAGTAGCATTTGAAATAGACCATTGGTCTATTTCCTTATAGAATGCCACAGGCGCCAAAGTTGCTTACAAATGTTTGAAGAAATGCTATAGATGCTGCTTTTGGGGGGTGGGAGGCTTTATGGAAGATTGATCTGGATTTATATCTCTTTGCCATGAGAACTGATTAGTTCTATAATAATTTATTTATATTTGCCATCTTCTCTATTTTATTCCAACCACAACCACAGCATTCTGAGGTAGAATAACAGGACCAAAGTCACCAGTAGGTTTCCATGGTTGAGGGCTCCTTGCTTTTAGTCTAACATTGTAACTACTGCCCAATAATGGCTCTATGAATCATTTGATGTAAAGCATCAAAATACCTTTCTATGATAGTTTGCCTCTGTAATTAAAAGCTAGTACAAGAAAACTCTGAAAAGGTGCAGAATTTCAAAGAGATGTCATGTTTATTAGATCGGTCTCTGGGCTGTTATAGTTTATTTCAGCCAAGAGATAATACTACCTGGTCCCTTAGGCTTTGATAACAAGTCACCAAGATACCAAAATGTTGATACGTGCATCATGATTTCATCTCCCAAATGATGTAGTCATGTACTCGGGTTGTAACATCTGTCACTGACCTGTTTAGCTGTCTCATTTGTGTAATGATGTCACAATGATGACATGATGCACAGGCTATCTATCATTCCCTTCTTTCCTACTACAGATTGCAGTTGATTTTATAGGCTTTCTTTGAAGCTTTCAATAATTGAAGGCTGAGCTCGACAAAGGAAATGTGAAAGGAAATTCTTCCTTTAAACTGTTATTTGAAAAAGAATTTAGGGTCCTTTTACAAGATCCTCAAGTTCATATGAAAAAAAAAATTGCTGGCCAAAAAAAAAAAAGCAATTATTTTGTGTTTTTTGTGGGAAGAAAAGTTCTAATGCATACCCCACTAAAGAATTCTCTTTTGGATTTTATAGATCTCTGACTGTTATTTAGCAAAAACGCCTCAGCATGGATTTAAGGAGTGTGTTTTAGATAATGTACTTAAATGTACATTACCATGAGAAATACCGGCTGTTTGAAAAAATGTACAAAATTTATGAGAGTTAAAAGAAGCTGAAATTAATGCAGAAGTGGGATGAAACAGATTTGCAAGTGAATAAGTTAAAATGGACATGGGCTAGGTCAGGAATAAGAATGACTTCTCTACTCAGTTTGGGAGATTGGTCTTCCCACTCTCTTGTAGCCCGATTGCCCACAGAGGGTGAAAATATCTACACCCCACTTTTTTATTTTGTTTCCAAGATAGCGCAAGAGTAATCTTTAGGGAATAACATGCAGGAGTTACAGGAAAGGAAATATGTATGGTGTAACAGCTAAAACAGCCAGTTAAAATAAAAAGGTCCATTTGGCTTGGCCACAGACTGAATTTGGCTGGAAAACCTGGCTTCTGAATGCCAATTAGTCTAGCATTCCTAGCTAAGCAATCAATCCTGAAGAAAACCAAGGAATTCATAATGGGCCACAGATAGACCTTGGAAAATGTTCCTGCATTTGTGACTAAATAATTCTCATGATTAATGTCCGCTATCTTTATTATTCATTAAAAGGATAAAGAAGCATCTCTCTTAAGAGGGGGGGGGATTTAAAATGATAAAGCCCTAACCTTTACAACTCCTTCGTCAAGATTGCTTTATGATTTCATGAAGCACTAGATTCCCTCCTATGACCCAAATAACAACTTCTAGTGGGGGAAATTGAAAGCATAGATGGAAAATTAAGTGTAAAAGAGCCTTAATCTAAGAAAGAATAAGAGACATATTATTCTAAAACTGATTGAATGGCACCCAAGGAGGATGGATTTGCAAAGGAGAAAAAGATAACTATCATTAGGAGTTTAACTTCCCTGTGGCTGCATTTTTATGTGCACATACAATGACTGATTACATTATTCCAGAGACTTTCTTTGATTAGCAATAAGTTGAGCCCTCACAAAATGGAATGTGTCATTCTACTTCTTCACATGTGGAATTTTAAGGGCTTTGGTAATTGTTGCTTGTCTCTGGGTTGATATTCCAACCCAAATGTGGATTTCCATGAGTTGTGCTGACATTTCTTGTTAAATCTTAGCAGCTTCTTCATTACACAATCGCTATGCTCAGAAAGCAAAGAATTGGCTTCCTGTAAAGCCAATTCCTTCCAGGTCCTAGCTGTAGATGATTCCAAACACTTAACCCTGTTAGCATAAACAGTCCCAGGGTACTGCCAATAATTTGTAAGAGCATTAGTTTCCATTTAAGGAAACCTTGGATGGGCATTCCAGATAAAGGGTAGGACAAAAACATTGACTTTAGTACAACCATCCAAATTGGATCCGTAGGGGGCAACCTTTTTGACCTTTGCTGATATATAGTACTCTGTACTCTAAACCATTCAGAGAAAGAATGGGATTAAGGTGGTTTCTTATTATGAAATGGGATCTCATTGCCATCCATGTTGTTAACAGAATTCAGTGCAAATTTGAAAATCAGTTCAAGACTAGTGATGGCTAACCTTTTTGTTGTCACATGCCGAAAGTGTGCATGTGTGCGACAGGATGCACACATGCGTGCCCGCACCCATAATGTAATGTGCACTCCTCCCGCGTCCTTTTTTGGACCTAGCAGACCTCTCTGCAGCCTCCTGGGACCCAAAACAGATTATGGGGTGGCGCCATACACCCCCGTGCTCCACCCCTACCCGTGTATGTGAGCGCAACCCCACGTCCATGCTCACATGTCTCCGCCTCCTGTGTATACGCGGCAGAGACCCAAAAATCAGCTGGCTGTCGAGAGCCACATGCACATGCGTGGTGGAGCTGAGCTGGGGCAACAGCTCCTCTGCCCACACGGAGGGCTCTGTGTGCCACCTGTGGCATGTGTGCCATAGGTTCACCATCACAGCTCTAGACATTTTATATCCATAATTTCAACTGAGGACAGAGAAAGTGAGGTTATCTTAACACCAATGGCAATGTCAGACGGCTGTAACTTTACCAGGTCCTTGTCACTGTCCTTAGTGAACGTCTTCTCCTTTTCATCTTCATTTTTACTCCAACTGTAGGAAATCATATAGTTCATAATGGGTGGATGATAGATAATCTCTGGTTGATTCCAGGTCACCAGCAAGGCTGTTCTGTTAACGAGTTTCACTTTCATATTGACAGGAGGGGTACTGCAAACTAGATAAAAGGAGAAAAAGAAAAAACATGATATGCTATCAGGATATGAGATGAGACAACAGTTGCCAGAGAATTGTCTAAAAAATTATTTTGCAGTCAGAGTTGATATTGAATTGTATCCGGCCGAGTATGTACATATGTATAGTTACTGTGACATAACGACAATATAAACTTGTAAACATCTAAATCTAGAATTTCAGTCATGCAGTTTCTGAGATGCTTGTATCTCTATTGCCTCAAGAATTACCGAAGAGGAGTTTGAAGAGAGTTGCTTAAGGTAAGCTCTTCTGATCATGCTTTTGCTTTTGAAGTTTTTATTTTACATCACAGCAAGAGAAAATATTATTAATGCAGGTCCAGTGGACCAGGCATAAATAAAATAATCAGAATCACTAAGATGACATAATTGCCTGACATTCTTTTAACAAAATGCACTTACGACAACATTATCAACCCTGCAACGTCTGTTTAACCAAAGTACTATGAATATTGCTGCCTGAGTATATCTTGAGAATGAAACACTCCTTAGAATCTCTTAAATTTGGATATCAATTCATGTGTCAGGCAAGGAATCAAGATGCGCATTTCTCTTTCTCAGGTTTAAAAACAAATTGCCTAACAATTGAATCAATCATCAATCTATCTATCAATCTATCAATCTATCTGTATATGTATGTATGTATGTATGTGTGTGTGTGTGTGTGTGTGTGTATATATATACACTCCCTTTATTTATTTATAAGCAAATACAACACACACACACATATATATATGTATATATGTATATATGTATATATGTATATGTATATATGTATATATGTATATATGTATGTATACATACATACATACATACATACATACATACATACATACATACATACATATATAATCTATCTATATCCATCCATCAATCCATCCATCCACCCATCTTCCATTCATTCAATTTCTATAGTTGTCCATCTCAAGCAAGTGATTCTGAGCAGGGAACAATTATAAAACTGTTACAATACAAATTAAATATATATGGTAGTCAAGGTAAAAATGTCATCATAGATGTCAATGTAGCCAGAAAGCAGGGTCCTTCATGCCTTAAGGGTCTCAGGTTTGGTACAAACCCAGGCCTTCAATGTTCTACAGAAGGCCAGCAGGGCTGGGGTAATCCTCAACTCTCAGGCTCTACAGCAGAGAAGGCACATTTTCTAGTTCCTGCCAGTTGACATTTCCTATGGATCCTAAAAGGTCATAATTAAAAAATGATTGTGCATGCATCTAACCTGCAGTAACTATGCGTTCCTCTATGTAGTGGTGAGGCTAATCCACCACTTGAGTCACTGCAAAAGTAACACTATGACAGTTTTCTCCAACCAGGGACTAATTTCTCAGAATTGCTTTGCACTTATTAGTAAGGGATTCTGTTAGTTGTAGCGCAATAGGTGTAAAGCACCTTATGGAAGTCTATATTTTATAATGATTATAAATGTGGGAGTTTAGATCACCATATATAGGATTTTCAGCTGAGGAAGAAATCGCTGCAACCACAGCAAATTATTTCTAATATTAAGGAATGGCCAGAATAGAGATCATAACTCAGCAATGATAAATGTAAAACCCAAGTGTAAAGATATACCTGTTCTAAGGTGAAGTCAGGTGAAATGATATGCCATGTTTGTGAAACTAATTGCTGAGTCTCTGAATCGTACAGGCAAAATCTTCCCCCACACTCTTAAGTGATAGAAATAAAATATATCTTAATGGTGAACACTAGATGGCACTAATAGGCTACTGATAAAAATCACATCCCCCCCCCACCCTCCCTAGTTATTTTAAGATAGGAATCCATGATTCAGGCTTTCAGATGCTGTTGAAAAATTCTAAATCCATGGTCCCTGAGATTATCAGATAATGAGGTGTAGTGAAGGGTCCCCGTGACAACATCCCCAAGGTCAATAGATGGTTATCCAATCTTGGCAACTTTAAAACTTGTTGGACTTCAAACATAGCTGGCTGTGGAATTCTGGGAGTTGAAGTCTACAAGTCTTAAACTTGCCAAGGTTGGACATCCTTGGTGTACACTGTCACTTTTACCATTCAAAGCCCTTCTCCAGCATTGCTGAAGTGATCCTTTCGTTGGCCATCAGGATTCATATCACTCATATTGCAACTACATCATGGGCTAGTGTAGAGGAAGGAGTGGCTGTATTGGAGTTCGCCTTTGAGACTGAAGAAATATTGTCTTTGAAAAGCTTATGACCCATAGGAAAAAACAGTTGAGGACTTGGGTTGATTTTGGTGGAGTTATCCAAAAATTAAGAGGAACGATGCCCTGCACGCTCCTATCTTCCTTTTTTTTGCACGTCTTTCTCTACACTTTCTATATTCTATATTATTCTAGGTAATATATCTGAAGAGATGGATGTCCATGAAATAGATTTAGGTTTAGGTTTATTAGATTTATATGCCGCCCTTCTCCCAAGGACTCAGGGCGGCGTACAACATTAAAAGAAACACATAATACAAAACTTAAAAAAAATTAAATAGAATATCCCCAAAAAAACCAATTAGAATTGACAATAACATTTTTTTAAAAAAAATTAAAATTAACAATGATCAATAATTTATTTTGTT